TAAGTCTAGACACTAACTATAAGTGAGAAGAAATCGGCCAATGTTATTTTAAAATTGAACCATGAGGGGGCCCTGTGTCACAAAAGTTATAAATTACGTTTCAAACTTTTAACACATATCAGAAAAAAATTTTCATTTGCAATGTTAATGATATTTAAACAATCAAGTAAGTTTATTCGTACTATTTCAAGATTGATGGAACCTGCGCAAAACTGCAATATAATCTCAATAACACGCATGTAGTCACGCATTTTACTTCATGTCGATAAGATGATCGATCATTTCCGTGTTTCTAGTACACTTCGACCACGTTGACCAAATATTTATATTCAAATATTTCAAAATTGGTCCCGAATCTACTCTGTAATCGTCTACGAAACAACATTCAATTCCCTAAACATCGACCATTATGTTCCATTATATCTCGTCACGGTGTTTTCACTCGCGTAACTACGCACAATGCTCCGCTTTCAACGACTTATCCACGCAGGTAACACCGCGATTCACCGTCGCTCTCTCGTTCGTGCCGATCGAATCGAAACCGGCCGATCGTTGGTCCTCGTGTCATTAACCAAGGAGAAGACCGTAAAATACACGAGGGCGAGGCTCTCTCTCTCTCTCTCTCTTTCGAGTTTTGCCGGCTGTTGGAGCTCAGCGACTGAGCCAAGGATTATTCGAGGATTACGCGAGGATGTTCATTCGAGCTGATTTACAAGGTCGCCGTCTGCGTGTACTTCGATTCGGCTGGTTGGCCTCTTGCGAGGAGAGACTTGTCGTCGTTTCTACGCGAGAGCTCTCTCGCACAATGAGACGCCATAAGACGTAATAAGAGACTGTTGGAGGGCTTTTATACCTGCCGCGTAAAAACGAGCATCCATGGACGTTTCTGTATTCAACTGGGATTGCTCTTTTTCGGAGACTTCGATTCTTTCAGAAACCGATCGGGACATTAGATACAGCTTGGTGAACGGTGGCCAGCCGTAGTTGGAAACGGTCTACAAAAACTTTACTCGACAATTTCGCGAATATAGAGGATACTCCGTTAACCTGGATATAATATTTTAATTTCTCACGTTGTTTGTACGTATGTACGTATGTACGTACGTACGTATGGTACGTACGATTTCTATTCCAACAGGAAGATTACTCATATCTCTAATGCGTAATGTCGTTCTAAGTTCAAATGGGTATGTAGATTTTTCAGATGACCTTTGTCTTGATTTGAAATTTAAATGGCTCGCCTTCGTTTCTTGTACTTTACACTCTTCCGATATCGAGGAAAGATTACCGTACAATGTACAAATACATGTTTCTCTCAAGGTGTTTCTAGAAACGGAATACTGACACGAAGTATTAACCTATGAACAAACAATCATTCTTCGGTATAAAAGTCGAGAATTCTAACGTGAAAAATATGCAGACGTTTCGTGGAAGCATCAGCAAAAGTAATACTTCTAAATTTAAGAAACATCACCGCCAAAATTATATATATTTTTAATGTTAAAAATCAATACTGATTTAACCTCTTGCGCTGGAATGACATGCACGTCGAGAATTTTTTTACCCAAAATTGTAACATTTTCTCAGTTGTAAGTATATTCAAGTAAAACAAAATAGGCAAAACAAATAATAAATTTATTACTTCTGAATAATTTCTATCCAGTGATATCATATCGACGAGTTCAAAAAGAAAGCGACGAATTATTGTATACAGTTTGGTCACTCGTTAAGGTCCGCAATCAGTTGGCAGCGCAAGGGGTTAATCTTAACCTCTTGCGCTCGAATGAAGCACGTCGAGAATTTTTTCACCCAAAATTGTAATATTTTCTCAGTTTTAAGTATATTCAAATAAAACAGAATAGGCAAAACAAATAATAAATTTATTACTTCTCAATAATTTCTATCCAGTGATATCATATCGACGAGTTCAAAAAGAAAAAGCGACGAATTATTGTACACGGTTTGGTCACTCGTTAAGGTCCGCAATCAGTTGCCAGCGCAAGTGGTTTAATTATATAATTAAATACTACTTTACAGAATTAAAGAACGCATTGTATTGCAGCCAAGGAACTGTCGATCTTCGAACTCTAGAAAAATCGCGCGAGATCTCCATTTTCACAATCAATTCTGCATTTTCTTTTCGAATATGTTTGCACACTATGTACGCAGCGCATACTCCCTTTCTCGAGAATTTTACAAACTCGAGAGCGTCTCTACGACTTTACGTAAAATTTTCTTTCACAACAAAATCCACCACGGATTCAAAGAATCGAAGCAGAAACTCGACCAACTATCTCAATCGTCGTTATAAATAAAAAGCATACCGCGCGACGATTCGGGTAATCGAAGAATAGCGCGTCATTTCGAGACTGAGCCCCAGTTATCTCGTTGGTGTACAAATAATTCAGATGATAAACGAATTACGTCGAAACGAGATGATGAAAGGCACGTTTAGGGCACGGGACGAGACGCCGAGCTGCGCATTAATGCGAGGGCTGATGTAGCAGAACGTTTGACCCCTCCGTCTCTTACGCGAAAACACCGCCAGGGTGAGAGACAGGGTGAGATCGAGAGGGAGACAGAGACGAGCACGTGCTCGACTCATGAATCAAGTCGTATTAGCGAAGAGTGTAGCAGACCTGCTGCTAGAGGCACCAATCTACCACTCCAACATCGAGTAGATTGGATTTCGGAACTTTATTCAATTATTCGACAACCGGTCGGATCCGAGGCCTGTAGAAGCGCGTCGTTGAAGGTTTTCCGCGAGTATCGTGAACCACCCGCGGAAAGTAATCAGCCGCTAATGGATTATTTTGATCTTCTGATTAACAAGATGGAAGAATTCCGAGAAATGATTTGGGCAACTGACTTTAAGAGTTCTCGAGAGTTTGGAAGAAATTTCAAAAGCAGCTTCCGTGAGTTTCAATTCATGATTGAAGAAAATTCTACAAAGTTTGAGAAAATTGTATAAAATTACAACATTTGGTTTCGTGATTCATCTCAAGCCGAAACTATAAACCGATGACTGAGGGATAAAATTTCTATCAGAGACGTTAAAGGAAAATCGTTTCTGAAAGTACGCTGTAAAACTTTTAACAAAAATTACGAATTGGTTACTTTGATCACTTTGGTAATTCTATAATAGTATTAAAAATAGCGTCCCATTTTAAAACTTTTAAGCCAGAGTATACATATATAAATATATATACAAACACCAAGGGAAATTGGTCATTTTGACCATTTTGGTAATTCTAGCGTTGGCACGTTACTTCTTAGCATCAAGAAATTAAAAAATCGAAGAATTGAAATTAAAAATTTTAGAAAACCAATGGGTCAAGCTAAGATAAATTTTTATTTTAAAGATCAAATGTTACGGTATAATATATTTTAAACCATAGCCATCCGTAAAATTCGTGTGGCGGTCAACGTGTCTCTATTCTATAAATATTATAATATAAATAATTTCTATAATATTAAATATTATAATATAATATTCTATTCTATTCTATAATATTAAATATTATAATATAATATTCTATTCTATTCTATAATATTAAATATTATAATATAAATAATTTCTATAAAACTTCTAAACCGGAAGGCTAGAAACACCTCTCAAACACCAACGGCACGCTTTTCAACAGCGTCAAACATCCGACAATTCCTATTCGTCAAATAGAACGCGTCTCGAGCAACGTGTCCTTAGATTTCCCGATAACGAAAGGGTTGAAGGAAAAAGGAACTCGGAATCTTACCACGTCACGCGGAAACTGTAATCTCTGGAATCTCACGAGATGTTCGACGTGTATGGGATATATTTATATCTCGGCTGGTTATCGGTATTTTTTTTTTTTTTTTCTTCTTCCTTTTATACAGTATTCGCGTTACGGGTTTTGTACGAAAGGGAAGCAGTGGATTTCACGTTGCCAGATTCGAGAAACATCTGCCACAACAGCGCATCACATGGCTCGTCGTGTTACGTGCATCGCGCGAGGGGTTGTTTTCTCGTTCGTGAGCAAACGAACGAAAGCGAGAAAGCGCGGGACCCGCTCCTGCTTCTTATTCGAACGTCGAACATTCAAATGACCCTCGCGATGGAATTATCGGCTCGAACGATCGTGCGTGGAATCCTCGACCCCATCGCTCGAACAATGCGTTCCTCTCCAAGCTTGTTTTTACCCTAGAGGACAGTTTATTCCCAGGGACAGTCGATGGATTGATATATCGTCTCCTTCGCGTTTGAAGCGAAGAAACAAGTGTCAAGGAATTGCTGTTTTTACGTTATATAGCAGATACATTTACGTGTGACTGACCGTGCTCGACTACGGGTGTTTGTTAACATTCTCGCAGTAGGCTTCGTGCGATTTTTTTTTTTTACGTGGATTTTTTTTGTTTAACCACAGTAATTCATGGCTGAACAAGTTCAAACACAAGAGTCACGGATTTTATTTGAAAACGGTATAGCGCGACGCATAATAATTCAGGAGAAGATGAACGCGGTTCTTCCGAACATGAATTTCCAACTCCCAAACGAATTTCTCGTTCCTGAAATTACCGAACGTCGTGTATCGAACGTTCAAAAGGAAAGTCAGAGAAACCGGATGTCACCAACCTGCAATTAATATCGATCGACGTTGTCAACTATGAAATTCCACCCAGCAAATTGTCGTCGAAGCAACAACACTCTCGATACGTCCAATCGATACACCTCGTGTTCACAGTGCACACGATTCCGCGCTGATTATCTATCCCCATAGACGAGATCCACCCCGGTGTATGGCGTCGTGTCGTCCGTTAACGACAAAAGAAACCGCATAAATAACTAAAGCGGGATGAAAAATTCGACGGATCGAAAGGGTGAGAGGCCGCGACGCGGTGTGGTGTGGTGTGGTGCGCGCGGTTCGACAGAGAGAAAGAGAGAGGAGGAACGACAGGAGGCGTGGCGAGACCGCGCACGCTCCACGTGACCCTGTCGCTCCGAAAGGCGGGACTTCGAATCCTGGCACACAACTACAAGAGCAGTAGAACGGGTTGGTGGTTCTCGGCTGTCGTCGCGCGCGCGGAGTATCTCGAGTCGCGCTCGTTCCACGAACAACACCTGCCGACGCCGATCGCCGGACGCTCGTGCCACGCTTTCGTTCGTCTGTGACTCCTTCTTCTTCTTTTTTTTTTTCCCCCTTCTCTCGAAAGTGACACCGTCATCGTCGTTTCGTCGTCGTCGCGGACGATTCAGAATAACGAAAGTGATCACCCCGAGGATCATGGAGAGTAAGAGCGAGCTCACCGATGCGATGCGCGTCAACGCGAAAGAATGAGGCTCGTTGGTTCCAGGGTAACTGCGAGGAATCACATCGTAGTCCTATCGATTGAAGGACACACACCTCGAGCAAGATGCTGCTGCCTCAGGACATGATGGCAGCCCAGTCGAAAATGCTGTACCAGATGAACAAGTACTACGGCGAGCGCGTGCAGGCTCGCATGGGCCAGGTACAGAAAACCATACGGGAAGTGTGCAAGGTGGTACAGGAGGTTCTGAAGGAGGTGGAGGTTCAAGAGCCGCGGTTCATCTCGTCCCTGACCGAGTGCAACGGCCGCTACGAGGGGCTCGAGGTGATCTCGCCCGGCGAGTTCGAGGTGGTCCTCTACCTGAACCAGATGGGAGTGTTCAACTTCGTGGACGACGGCAGCCTGCCGGGTTGCGCGGTGTTGAAGCTCAGCGACGGACGAAAGAGATCCATGTCGCTCTGGGTCGAATTCATCACCGCCTCTGGCTACCTGTCCGCGAGGAAGATCCGCTCGCGGTTTCAGACGCTGGTGGCGCAGGCATGCGACAAGTGCGCCTACAGGGACTCGGTGAAGATGATCGCGGACACGACGGAGGTGAAGCTTCGCATCCGGGAGAGATACGTGGTGCAGATCACGCCGGCGTTCAAGTGTTCCGGCGTGTGGCCGAGATCGGCAGCCCACTGGCCGATCCCTCATATACCGTGGCCGCATCCGAATCTCGTGGCCGAGGTGAAGACCGAAGGTTTCGATCTACTGTCGAAGGAGAGCGTGGCGCTTCAGGGGAAACAGTCGGCGATGGAGGGCGACGCGTGGGTTCTCTCGTTCACGGAGGCGGAGACGAGGCTGCTGCAAGGCGGCTGTCGCAGACGATGTCTGAGCATTCTGAAGACTCTGAGGGACAGGCATCTGGATCTGCCGGGCAATCCAGTCACCAGCTATCACATGAAGACGTTGCTGCTCTACGAGTGCGAGAAGCATCCTCTGGAGACCGAGTGGGACGAAGGGTGCATAGCGGACCGCATAAACGGCATCTTCCTGCAGCTGATATCCTGCCTTCAGTGTCGAAGATGCCCGCACTACTTCCTGCCGAATCTGGACCTGTTCAAAGGGAAGTCGCCCAGCGGCTTGGAGAACGCGGCCAAGCAAGTGTGGAGACTCACCAGAGAGTTGCTCACCAACAGCCGCGCTCTCGAGAAACTCTAGTAGAACACGCGTCGTTTCTTTTGTGGTTCCCAAATCGGGGAGGATTTGAACAACAAAGAGAAAGACAGAGACAGAGAATCGTTTGGGGATTTTTCCGGTGACTCGCGTGAATCGCGACTTTCTTGGATGCTGCTTTCGCGACTTGGATGGTTCCTTCTCCGCCTTTGTGCTTTTTTAATTATCGCAAACGCGAGAGATTTACTTTCACTCGCTGTCTTCTTGCACACGCTTCAGCGTATATTCAGGGTACCAGGGACGGTGTAATGAGTTTCATTACCGTTGTCCCATCTTTCTTTCTTCTTCTTCTGAACCCTCTTCCCTTTTTTTATTCGACGCGAGTCAAACGTCGGTTTTTTGTCAGTGCAATATCGTACGCCCAGTGTTTCGTTTCGGCGCGGAAGCAATTGTTGCTAGGTTCTACGTGTTGATTTTGGATAAAACTCATTCGACGAGGCAACTCGTTCAGTTCCACCGATCGAAATGTTCACCGAGCCGTCGGAGATGTACGCCAGCTCGAATAATATATATATATATATTACCGCGTTTTTTATACGACCGAAGCTTTCGCTTGGAGCGAGATCTCCTGCTTTATTGAACGCAAAACGAACGACTTCTCCACTCAAGCGTTGCGAAATGCGAGCGATGAAATACCTGAGTACCCGATTAGCTGCTCCTAATCCGTCTAATGGCTAACGTATGAATCGTATGATCCGTTATCGTTAAATTAATCTAATGTTTATGATCGGTTAGCGATCGAGCTGCCGGCGGTAGCTCGGCCCCACCATGTTGTTGTATGTACATAATTTTTTATATTATTTAAACAATATTTATTTCCACTTCGACAGTGAATCGCTATTCGAACACAGACACACACACACACACACACACACACACACACACACACACACACACACACACACACACACACACACACACGATGTAAATAATGATGAATAAACGCATTTCGTCTCATAATTGCGGCATGATTAGTGATACCTACCCTTTGAAAAGCTTGATAAAAAGGATCGTCTCTTAATCACTTGCGCTGGCAACTGATTGCGGACCGTAACGAGTGACCAAACTCGTATACAATAATACGTCGCTTTCTTTTCGAACTCGTCGATAGTGATATCACTGGATAGAAATGATTGAGAATTAATAAATTCATCGTTTGTTTTGCCTATTTTTAATTTACTTAAGTATACTTAAAACTGAGAAAATATTACAATTTTGGATGAAGAAACTCTCGACGCGCGTGGCACGTCATTCCAGCACAAGAGATTAATTCCCAATCTCCCATCTTCTCTCACAAATACAAACGACCACTCCTTACCAAGTTGTAAAATTTACATAGCCAATAACGAGGCCTGAAATTTCCAACGATCGAGCTCGAGGTTCCAAACGAGACGATAAAAACCATCACCGGCGTAATTATTATCTACGATGTTAACGCTCGCGCGTTGAACACCGAAACGATCTCGTCAAAGACAACTCGCTACCGAGTTTCATGGCGGTTGTACGCCAACGAGAGGCGCGAGCCGTGTGTCCCTTATCTTAATTCCCCTCGAGAAACTCTCGTCCTTATCTCCCGGGCGCAATGACATTCGTTAGCCGGTGCCACTCACTCTCTGCGATCGGCGATCGTTCGGGATTTTACGTTATTATTATTGGCCCGTAAAAAACAAAGTGAGAAGAAAGAGAGAGAGAGAGAGAGAGAGAGGAGTGTAGTCGCTCGCGACAACACTTTACGTGCGTCGTAATCGGCCAGTTCCCTCCGCGATTTACAAGCCTTAATGGGAGAGTTATCGTTGTCCTCGTTAAAACCGTAGACTTTATACGGAGTTTCTCGTCGCCGGGCCTCGATAAAAACGGCTCGTAAACGAATCGTCCGATAACTCAAACCGACCGGTGTCAACGTTTTCGCCGGGCGAATTTCTTATTTCCGAGACGAGGCCGAAGCACCTCTTTCGCGAGATGTTACCGGAGCCCATATAGATAGCGACAGAGTACCAAGTTTCGTTTCGAGAGAACCAACCGCACGAAGAAAGGGGGAACCTTATCCACCGGAACGGGAAGATCGGGAAGATCGACAAACCAGCAACGACTAAAAATCCGCCAGGAGGTTCCTCGCGCCGTGGCACGGGTAATCCTCCACCATGACGGAAATTTCGGGGCTCGAAGGGGTTGCGGAGGAATGGCCGTGCCCATGCACGGTGTCCATGGCCAGGAAATAAAACGAGTTGTATCTGCATAATTCATGGAAGGGGGAGGGGGAGAGAAAGAGGAGAGAGAGAGAGAGAGAGAGAGAGAGAAAGGGCTCGCGTTTGGGGTTAGCCGCCGCCGCCGCCGCGCACCGTTCGTCCTTCAGGCCAGGCAACCGAAACGTATAGGTTGTGCCGGGTCGTGCGGATCGATCCCAGTCGGTTCACCTCGACAGGCCACGCCGGCGCGGTCACGGCAGCGCGCGATTGGTAGAACCGCACGACACGGGGGCGTGGCCTGTTCGTGGGTTCGACTTACACCGCCGCACGACTCGGTGCGGTTCGAAGAGAGAGAGCGGGTGGCGCGGAGGAGGTGAACGACAGCGCAGTCGACTATCTGCTCCGGCACGGAGTCGCTCGTACACCTCGTCCTCTCGCTGCTCGTTCGTGTCTCCGCCGCAGGACCGGCGTCCTTAAGCGACGCGACGCGACGTGACGCGAAAAACCAACCGATCGTACTCGTCTTTCCTCAAAGCGTCGCCTGGATAGGCGAGGTTCAAGTCAAGGAACACAGAGAGCAGATGGAAAGGCAACGAGAAAAAATCAACTGAAATCGCGAGCGAGTCGATCGTTTTGGAAGGTGCCCTTTGGTAAGGATGCGGTGATCGCGAGAGTAGGCAACCGCGACGAGGAAGCCCTCGGAGGCTTCAGGCCGCCACGACGACGATGCTGTTGCCGGCGGATATGCTGGCGGCTCAGTCCAAGATGGTGTACCAGATCAACAAGTATTTCGGGGAACGCGTGATGACCAGGAAGAGCCAGGTGATGAAGACGATCCAGGAGGTGTGCCGCGTGGTTCAAGACGTGTTGAAGGAGGTGGAGGTTCAAGAGCCGAGGTTCATCTCGTCCCTGACCGACTACAACGGCCGGTTCGACGGCCTGGACGTGATCTCGCCGACGGAGTTCGAGATCGTCATCTACCTGAATCAAATGGGGGTGCTGAACTTCGTGGACGACGGGACATTGCCCGGTTGCGCGGTGTTGAAGCTCAGCGACGGCCGAAAACGGTCCATGTCCCTCTGGGTGGAGTTCATCACCGCGTCCGGCTACCTATCCGCCCGAAAAATCCGCTCGCGGTTCCAGACGCTTGTGGCGCAAGCGTGCGACAAGTGCGCCTACAGGGACTCGGTGAAGATGATCGCGGACACGACGGAGGTGAAACTCCGCATCAGGGAGCGATACGTGGTGCAGATCACGCCGGCGTTCAAATGCGCCGGCCTCTGGCCGAGATCGGCCTCCCACTGGCCGATCGCGCACATACCCTGGCCCCATCCGAACATCGTGGCCGAGGTGAAGACGGAAGGTTTCGACATGCTGTCGAAGGAGTGTATCGGCCTCCAAGGGAAACAATCGGCGATGGAGGGCGACGCCTGGGCGTTGTCCTTCATAGACGCGGAGAATCGTTTGCTGCAGGGTGGCAGCCGAAAGCGTTGCCTGAGCATTTTGAAAACACTGAGGGACAGACACCTCGATCTACCGGGGAACCCGGTCACCAGCTACCACATGAAGACGTTGCTGCTCTACGAGTGCGAGAAACACCCGCACGAAGCGGAATGGGACGAGATCTGCATAGCGGATCGGATCAACGGGATCCTTCTGCAGTTGATCTCCTGCCTGCAGTGTCGCAGGTGTCCGCATTATTTCCTGCCGAACTTGGATCTGTTCAAGGGCAAGTCGCCCAGCGGATTGGAGAACGCGGCCAAGCAAGTGTGGAGACTCACCAGGGAGTTGTTGACGAATAGCCGAGCTCTGGAGAAGCTGTAGCGAAAGAAAATTTCCATACGATCCGCGCGTGCGGTGCCGCACGAGCGAGGGAATGTCTTGTTACTCGTGCAAGATCGAGGAAGATCGGAAACGTCGCACGCCTGAGCCTCTGCACGTTGTCGGAAGAATTCTCGAAGCTGGCGAAAGTGTTGGAATCTCGAAAGTGTTTGGAAAACGACGGAAAACAAGCGCGTGTGATTTTGTGACTCACGGGGTCCGAGGGCGATCGAACCAGTGCCATAAAACATCCACCGAGACATCGAGGGTCTCTGTTTCGCTCTCGAGTTGCCGACGGCGGCCACGTCGAGCCGCTTCTAACCGGTGTTACTCCATTTCGTTGCTCCGAGCGTTTCGAAGGAGAGAGAGAGAGATCGTGATTTGAATCTGAAGTTTGAGTTTGATGTTACACGCGACTGCGAATAAGACTACGACGACGAAAGTCACCGGTTACGAGTTATGCTTAATTCCTCTCTCTCTGAATCGAACTCTGTCTCTTCCCCCTCCTTGTCATTATGTACATATTATCTGAAAGATATTTATTGAAAGTGTACACGAGAATATGTGAAATACAATGCTATTTATATGGAACCGTAGCCGAAGTTGTCATTTTCTGTCAACAGCAGCACACGCCCACTCCTCACTTACTCGAAATCGAAATTCGCGTAAATAGATAAATAAATTCTCGTCGATTTTTTTTAGATATATTTCGCGGACGTTACGAATCTTCAGATTGAATAAAATTTTAGTTTCGTTCAATTTTCATCGCTGGATCAATCGACCGATTAAACGATTTCCGGCGTGTGTGTTACCTTTGTTCCCCGTTTGAACAAATCCCTGACGTCAAAACGATCGGTCATTTCGCAAATATTCGCCATTTCGCACGAAATTCGACAGAGATAAAGCTTTCAGTGAAGGAAAAGACGAAGTTTCGAGGTCTTGACGTCAATACGGGTGAAACGTGTGAGTTACTCTTTATCACGTTGTTATTATTAGTGTCGTTATCGTTATTGTTCCTGTTTTCTTACTACCGGTTTTTCGTTGGTTGATAAGCAAATCGTGGCCGAGCCGAGCAGAGGGCCTCCCTCGGTTCGTTATTTGCACATCACAAACTTCAAAGTTAACGTATTCGTCGTGAAACATGAGAAATTCATTGTCGCACGTTAATTTTCATTACTCCCGCAAACGAGATTGAAACTAATTCGTTTTCGTTGTCACGAAACAATATCATACTGAAATTCGTTAGCACTAGAGTATTATACGTAATTATATATTACAGTACCGCAAGTCACCGTTCTTTGAACTTTAAATATTAAACCATCGGGCGAGAACGAGACTGAGATCTGTTCTTCTGTCATCGCTCGAAGTCAACCTAACAAACTGAGTTCGAATAACCTTGTACACGATTAATTGTGTGACGAGAATGGGATGGCCACTCATCGAGCAATTACCCCCAAACACACAGTGACATTCCAACTTGTAATTCGCTGTAGTAAATAATCGATCTTTGGATCAGCGAAAACACAACGATCGCGGAAGATCCAAGTGGGATACGCGAAGAAGATCCGAGTCTGCGTGTGATCGATTTGCTAACAGCGGAAAACTGGCAGCAATTCAAATCGCAATTGCTGTTACTCGTGTGTTTAGCCTGAAGTTCGTGTGCTTCGACGAAGTTTCAAACGAGCATAAGTTTATTAATGTACGCGTGCGTGACATCCAATTCATGTTAATAAACGCCTGATGAATTGGGATTCATTACCGTCCAATCGATATTTCCGACTAACGAAACGAAATCTGATAAGTCATCGACTGTTGCACAAGTGTTTCGACGACTCTCGAGCGACACGTGTAAAATTTGACTCGACATTTCGAAACTCTGCGAGTTTTTATCGTTGACATTTTACATTTAATTGTTCGCTCGTCCGTTTCGTTACTAACTTTCGATTTTCTCTCGAGAAAGAATTCTCTTCGAAACGGAACGAAAAGTTTCCATCGCGTGTCAAGTTTTCATGAAAATTTCGCGTTTCCCCTTTAGACCTTCAGTTTCACGCGATCGATCGAATCTCGAGGATCGACGACTAACGAACGAAAGGAACGAACGATTGTTTGGAAAGACAAGCGATTACGCAACGACTCCGCCGATGTCTTTAGCAAACAGGACGCGTATAATTTCAATTAATAAAGAGAAAAAGCGAGCGACGCGATGTTTAACGAGCTGCTTTCGGCCAAATTTACAGTGTTCGTAGCGTGAACACTATCGTCGCGAGATCCGTGGTCGCGTTCGTGGATTAAATATTAAGCAGTCATGCGTGCGACAAATTACCACCGGTGAATATATTTACATATTTATCTGGTTATTATCCGGGACTTTCAACAGAAGGAAAACAAAAGTTAACTGGCAACGAGCCTGGGCTGCGCGAACAACGAAGGAATAAAGTATTACATAAGCACACAGTGTTACACAGTTCGACGAATCTTTTTAAAAAAAAAAAACGAAAATTTGTTCGGGAATTTCTCGAGAAAAAATATATATCTTTTCATACTCTCTGTCGCTCTCGTGTTGCGACTGGATCGCGTAAAATTATGGAACGACGGTAGACGCGGAATACAAAGTTATTCCTGCTTTTGAAATTCAATGTACGTACGTCTCGATTCTCGCGTCGAGTGGGAAATATGGCATACTGACGTGAAACTGGAGTCGTTCGTACTGTTCGAGACTACAGTCAGGCTTCAACACTCGTATCGTAAGAAGACTGTGTCGTGGAAAATTCGTTCTACATTTTATCTGAATTTTATCCTATCTCTTTTTTTTCGTTTTGGAGCATGGTATCGACATTCGTTTGCTCCTTTTTTCCTTCACACAGCAAAGTAGCTTTAAATATTTTTCGAAAAGCAATATTTCTCAGAAGCATTTGTGTTTTCTTTCTGTTTCCATTGAGGAACGTTTGTGAAATTCGGCTCAAGAAGAAAAATAATGGCAAAGTCGAAATTATCAGAGTGGCGGGAGTCACGACGTCCTCTACGTCGAAAGAGAAAGAGGAAAGGAAAGAACGAGGAAAAAGGAAGAAACGAAAGAGAAAAAGGAAGAGCAGAGGGGAGAGATCCACACATGGTATGCTAATGAGGCCAGTTGCTTTCCTCGTTTTTGTCGCGACGTTCTTGCACAAACTTTGCAACAGATTCTGCGCGTCGAACTGCCTGCCTCTCACGATCGATCTTGGACCCCCATGAAAACACCAGTGATCGCGAGATCCATGAAAACGGCGATCCTTAAAGATCAGTCCAGAGAGAAACCGAGACAATGTAACACGCGGTGGTATTTCTTAGACGAACGTCGGTTTTTCTCTCTCGAAACAAAGTCATTCTCCTTTTAAAGAATACGCAAAATGTAGGTAGAATAAATTTGATTTACAGAAGCTTGAAAATGATAACGTCGTTGGATCATTCTTTATGACATCGATTCATCTCGATTCTTTCAGTTTCATCTTTTAACTGGTTCATATCAAAGGATGTTCCAAAGTTTAGTCAATGTGTTTTACAAGTAAATGTAACATAATGCTTATTAAAATGTTTATTTATTTCGTTTATTTGTTAAAATGTTGTGACAAAAATGTGAAATGGTACGTACTTGTAGTTGCATTTTCCGAAATGTCATCCGCTTTTATCAATGCAAAATGAATTCACTGTGAACCAAATTTCTTCACGCGCAATTTTCATTTTCTTGTAATCAGTTTATTATTTCGTGTAAATACCTGTATCGTAAGTTTTTGCATTTAATGATAATGTACAACTTTCTGTGAATAAAATTCAGAAGGTGGGAGGTCCAGTAACCTGAGAAACGACTATTTCATTGCATTTTATATTTTTATTATAACCTTCCAATGAAGCATTTATTTTTGCTATTTGCTAAAATTTTAGTTTTAGTTTAGCACAAAATATAATGGCAAAGTTTGAACACTGAGACTTCAGAACATCCTGTATGATAGACAAATATTTCCTTTTCCTCTTTTTTTTTCTGTGTAGGAATAGAACACAGTAATTTCCGCATGATCGTTTACGAATTAAATATTAATAAATGTCTGAAACACTTGGATACTTGAACAGTTATTAACAAGCTTTTCAGTAGCGAACTATTGACTGACAACCTGTTTAACTACATGCTTATTAACTATTAAAATTCGAACATACCAATGATACTAAAAGAAAGAGTTAATCCTTTTCAAACAGCGCGTGACTTGAGAATTACACACTTATGTATTTTTTATCTTCGTTCATTCCAACCTTCCGCCGTTACATTGTCCGTCAGTAATTTATCTCACAATCAGTAATTATTAATTCCTACCTTTCCCATCGGAGTTGAAAATCTCACCGAACTGTGATTTATTCCTTTTACAAACAGCCATAAAAAAAAAGGCCACAAAAAGTTACAGAGGATTAAGGATCAGTACAAAATGAAATTAATAAGCGTTTTTCCGTCGAAGTTGATCAGTTAATTACATGGCTCGGCCACATTGTAATCTCGATACTATTAACCCTTTGCGCTGGCAACTGGTTCGCGGACCATAACGAGTGACCGAACCGTATGCAAATAAAATCGTTGCTTTCTTTTCCTTTTGAACTCGTCGGTATGACATGACTGGATAGAAATTATTAAGAAGCAACAAACTTATCATTTGTTTTTGCCTGGGTTACATTTAAATATAACTTAAAACCGAGAAAATGTTGCAGTTTGGGACAAAAAATTCTCGACGTGCGTGGCAAGTCATTCCAACGCAAGAGGTTAAACTTTGGAAATCAACTAAAATCCACGATCCTCGCGTTTATACTCTCTTTCTCTATCTCGATTGCAAGTACACGTCGGCGATAATTTACCCATCCATTTTCGACCAATCGGGAATGCGCATTAACGCTGTGACAATCGCTTGCTCGCGAGCTGTATCGGCCTCTGCAGGGGAGAGAAAGAAATGGCAGGAAACCTCGATCCAGGAAATACGTTTTCAACGTTGGAGGAAAGGGGGGGAAAAAAAGAGGAGAGAGCGTAAGTACAGAGAGAAGAAGCAGAGCAAGCACCGAGGACGAGAGAAAACAAAACAGAGGAAGAAAAGCGTAGGCAGAGAGAGGGCCGCGATCGCAGCTCGTCCTCCGCGTTCTTCGTGGCTGGTCCCCCACAGGACTGCCGAGGACCTCCGCTGCTATAAAACGCTCAGATAAAGCCGCGATGTTTATATCCGTGGATCGCAGCGAGAGGAGTGCCGTGTAGAACGAGAGATATACCTGGCCGCGCCGACCAAATAATAAGACAAAAGCCGGGGCTGGACGCGGAGCAGGATTCGGGCACCGAGCGAGAGAAAGAAACCGCGAGAGAAAGAACCGATATTATTATATTAATAATATAACAATTAATATTAACCTCTTCACGTCTCTCCTTGGCCACATATGTGGACAGTTAATTTATGTCCTATGAAAAAAGCTACTTCCAAAAACTTTACAAAAATATTTATTTCTTGAATTTCTGTAATGTGAACTGTGTAATTTCTTTTATGTGTCATTTTCTTCAGTTACCGAAATAAAGTGAAATTAAATTAAATTTTCTTGC